GTATAGACCGAACAACACTATGGACGATACTGAGACATCCTGAAACCCCACAGAAGTTGGTGTACCTCATCAAGAGAGTGAACGAAGGGACAAGTTGAAGGGTTATACATGATGGCCAGCTAACCGACAGCTTGGACATCCAGACCTGTGTGTAACAGAGATGTTTACTATCACCATTCCTCTTCATCTCTGCGATCTATTGGCTGATGAAGGAAACCAGCAGAGGACACAGAAATGGTATACAGTGGACCCATGGACACAGTTGGACGATCCGGATTTTGCGGACGATTTGGCACTTCTGTCGCACACCCAGGAACAGACACAAGCACAGATTTCAGTATTAAACAACCTTTCAGAGTCTGTTGGATTGAGGATCCACCCCAGGAAGTCACAGGTCCTAATGATAGATGCTCAACGAAAGGAGCAGGTCACAATAGAAGGAAATGCGCTAGAAGACGTTGAATTCTTCTTCTATCTTGGAAGTATAATCGACAAAGAGGGAGGAACAGGTGCAGTCCCGTGCTGGGCAGGTACAGGCTGCTTTCATATCTTGCGTAGGATTTGGAGGACCAGGGATATCTCACTTGGAACAAAGCTGAGGATTTTCAATTCAAATGTGAAGTAAGTCCTGTTGTATGGATGTGACTCGGAACGTATCTCAGAGTAGCCAAAGAGGATCCGGGTTTTCTTGAACAGGTGTCTGGGAAAGTTGCTGAGAATCAGATGAATAGACGGGCTCACCAACGAGGAAGTGTTAAGGAAAACAGGACAGATTTCAGTTAGAGATTAGGTTTAAAGAAGGCGGTGGCGATGGATTGGACAGGCTCTCAGGAAGTCAGGCAGCTACATAACAAAGAAAGTGTTGGATTAGAATCCACAGGGTAAAAGATCAAGGGAAGACCGAGTGGAACCTAGAGAAAAATTACAGAAGCTAATGTACAGAAATGTGGGCAGACATGAAATCACATCAAGAGGCTATCCAAGGATAGAGAAAGGTGGAAAGTATTCATTCGTGACCTATACCCTGGTGCAGGGTGAGAAAGACATCAATGATGAGTGTGTATTGAAGTGTTGGGCGTTATAATTTTGACTGCTTGACATTTATTGAAAGGCATTGTGAAAGGAAACGTTTTTTAAAGTTAAAGATATTTTGTTAAATTAAACGATTCATTTACAACAAAAACGTTAATGTCACAGGGGCTGCACAGTGGAAAAGAAAACAAACAACAAAAGCAGTCTGGACCTACATGGAAATTGCCGCATAAATTCAAAGAACAATAAGACAGCAATGGGAAGAATATAGTTTTCTCTCAAGTTCACAACCGAAAACTCATCATTTTAAACGCGCGCTATTGTGTTAACATTTGATTAATTGAAAGCTATGATGGAATTATTTAATCCACTGGCTGATGGATACTGTGCACTTCTTGGCCGTGTAAGGTACATGGAACGAATGTTTCTACTGTACGTTTTCTCTTTAAAATCTACATCTGCAAAGAGCCATGGTGTGCTGCAAGTATGAGTTGATGGTTGTTTTTTTATTAGGGTATGACTACCAAATTTGAGGGGCGTGGTGACCTTGAAAGAGATCAGATGTCTTTAAATACAGTGTGTACAAGCACCAAAAAATGTCAAAATTAAACAGCTGTAAACAGCTGTCCATCAGGTGATTTAGAAGCTACCTGTTCGCATATCAAAAATAAATCTGCCCAAACAGTGGTGCAAAATAAAGTTTAAAGATTTTTGACAGCACTTTAGGTATCTAAAAGCACGATCCGAGTAATTACATCTGCCCCAAATCAACGATTTGTACTTATCATCTCGATCAATTTGCCTTATACAACCACCTTACCCTCCTGCCAAAGTAATTACACGTAAATATACTTCTCTCATCATACCAATGTAAGGAGTACTTGGGGTAGACGCGATCACAAAAGTAGTCCGTCTCCCAGTCCAAGGAAACAATATCAGGATGTATGTTAAGGAAGGCAAGCAAAGCAGACGTGCCACATTTAGAGAAACCCAGAAGTAGACATTTGGGCAGGCGGCTCACAGGTTTTTCTGGGATCGAGCTAATCCATCCTGGCAAAGTCTCCGGAGGAAGGTCTTGTTGTTTCACCATACGAAATTTGGTTGCTCCTCTCAGTTTCCCTGGCTCCAGTGCTGGATTGTGTGCGTAGTAGGGAGAATCTTCGAGTACGCTTTTCAGTCTACTCATCCGTGCAGCCTCTTGCTGGCTCCTGGGGCCCACGTAGATTACGCGGAAGAGTTGCAACAAAAAAAGAGTATAAATGAAGTAAATAGCCACGAATATCACAAACGGCCATTTACAAAATACAGCAGTTTGCATCCCGGCCCAACGCATGACGTCTGTAACAATTCTCTATCTAGTGTTCAGCGGGCTGCATAAAAATTAGAACTGGTAGTCACAAAATTAGTTCTCTTAATACGGCTTGAAAAGGAGAACATTCCTTCATGAAACACAACCAGATCTTAAGACTTCATTCAAAAAAGTAACCCTACTAATTTCAGAGATGAATATGGTTTTCATTTGGACGAACCTATCCCGTATCGAAATGGTAACGACAGGAATTATTCAGCTCAGCGGTCTTAAAAACTTCTAGTCACCCAGAGCATATCGTGCAACGTGAGAGGCTGACTATAGCCGTTGTCCTTTTCTTAAATATCTGTTGCTTTGACCACATCATTAATGGTTCAAATCTCACCCAACTGTCCTATAATCTGGGTATTTCATAAAAGTTAAGATAGCTTTTTACTCTGCAATATGCTCTTCAGAGGAAGGTAATGCACACCACAGCATCCCTTGATAATATTGTTTCGCAAACGGGCGGCATCACATTATGTGGCACTTTCTTGTGTGTTCGCAGTTCGTAAATGGTATCGTGTGTCCAGGGGCTGCTCCATCAAGACATTCATTACCCGATCTTTATCGGGCCTGTAACACCTTGGTATTATTACAGACAGGATAGGTTCGCCATCGTATTCCACGTGTGACAACCTAAAGGGTCGATGCAGTGCTCCATTTTTTGTCGATAATTTTACGCCCATATGACTTATGAAGCGAGCTTGTTTTGCGCCCATTTCGGTTTTCAATCAATGCTGGGATTATTTTTTCATCTAAAATCCCCCTTTCTTCCGCACCCCCCAACCACCAACATGTATCATGTGTGAAATGTCTGTGTGTGTTTGTGTGTGTGTGTGTGTGTGTGTGTGAGAGAGAGAGAGAGAGAGAGAGAGAGAGAGAGAGAGAG